TCCTACAAGAGTGTCCCAAATGACCCACAAGAGTGTCCTACAAGAGTGTCTCACAAGAGTGTCCCAGAAGAGTGACCCACGAGTGTCCTATAAGAGTGTCCCACAAGAGTGTCCTACAAGAGCGCCCCGTAAGAGAGACCCACAAGAGTGTCCGTCCTACAAGAGTGTCCCAGAAGAGTGTCCCACAAGAGTGTCCTACAAGAGTGTCATTTGGACATATGTAGTTTTTCGAACGTGTTTGCATTCGGGTTCGTGGGTTCCATCTTGTTTTTTGTTTTTATGTTTTGGATGTAATGACAGGAGATGGCGAAGCAAGCTATCGGAGTGGATGATGAGCTTTTCTTGGACAGTTGGGAAACCGAGGAGTACCTGCCTGGCGCAGTTATGGACATCATTCATCGCAGTCATGGGTTCAAAATAGCCTTTCAATCGAGATGGAACTATTTGGCATACATGTTCTCTTGAGAACTGATCAACGATGATAACCTCACTTTTCATTGAAGTTTTTTCCAACCCGAATTTCAGTGGCAGGGTGAGAGGGAAGCCTGATGCTGCAATAATGTTTCTCGAGGTGCATTGATGGATTCCGGAATGGACAGCTTAACAGCTGTCTCCTTCAGGTGCCCCAACGTGCAACACTTGCAATGTCACAAATCAGATGCATCTTGCCTGTTGCTAGCAGCTTCCATTTAGAATTTGGATATTTTGCTTTACCTTGAACGTTTCTATGAACTGTCGTCTCCGTTTCTCTGCCTGGGCTGCTTTGGCTTGTCAGGAATGGCTTGCAGCAACAATTGGGTGTGAAGCTGCCATCTTCACTGATGTTTGATTATCCTACCATGAAGGCGAAACACGGGGCAGTGAGAATTGAGACTAATCTTTATGCTGCATTTAATGTTATCAATAAAGGATCCTTCAATCCTTCAGTACATACATCGCAACTATTCGCAGATGCTATCCAAAAGGTCCTTACATTGGGATTGGAAAACCACCATCAGCGGTCTTGCAGCTTTGTATCACTTGCAAAAACCATATTGGGCAGCAGAGGACACATGAAATGAACCAAAGGCAGATTCGGGCTAAGACTGGCTAAACGCTGATCCCCAACTTTGCAGGAAGTGTCGAACAGGATTGTTGAACTGAGTCTCTTGGATGGCAGTTGGCCGAAGATGACCCAGACTTGCATGTAGCAAATCTCTGATCGTGGTACTTTGAGTTTTTTCTATAAACCTGCCGATGCTAGTTTGCTACTTTTTGCAGCTGTTGGTTTGGTGTTGAAACTAGTCCGGAATAAAGTCAATCGATGCCCGACCAAGTCTGATCCAACTTGAGCACGGAGTGTTCAGAGTGATTAGATGTATATAATTAGTGACGGTTCCTTTGGTTGTCTTCCGTAAATCAATGTCTGTGAGGCAAGCACTTGGAGTTTTTGCATGTTTGACTTTGGAGCTTGGCCATCACGTGTCAACCATGTTTTGGTTGCTCTTTGCTGAAGATGCTCGTGGACGGTGGTCTAACCGAAAAGAGGGTCGACACCTCTTAGTGGTTCAAAAGGTCGAGAGTGACCGTGACAGCGAGCTTCTTCCGAACGGTTTCTGTTCGCCTCGGGAGAGCAGGTATTGAGAATGCCTGAGGGGCCGGGATGATATTGCTGCAACGTTTCGGCGAGTCACCATGTGCTTCAAATGCGATGCACAGTATGAAAGAACTTCCAAGATTCAAAGCATATGCAACTGTTTAGGTTTGGCACACGCAACACAGATGTGGCTCACTGCGGGGTCTGCTGCAACACAGCCAAACTGTGAAAGAGGCCTTCTCGAGATGAGCTTCTGGTCAAATTGTCGGCCAAAAGGCCCAAATCCTAAGAGCGATAGCCTCCAAGACATGTCAAATTCTTTACCTAATTGCAAAATAGACTTAATGGCGATGGTCTCCACCCTAGTAGCGATGCCTTCTGGCCAGAAACTCCTCGGGGTGAACATGGAGATTTGGTCATGCCAGTTCACCACACATCTCAGATTTTCAACAAATCTGGCGACGATTAGAACTCCACCAGACTGGTGTTTTCGGCATGTTTCACTTTCTTCCGTGTCAATGGTGGGAGCACGTGCAGCTTTTTGCAGGGAAAGGCGATTGGATGGTCACTGAAGAGTCATTGTGGGATTGCTCAAGTCCAACAGCAAAAGGCAACGGATTCTGAAAGCGCTCATTTCTTGTTGCACTTTCAAATGATGACATTTCTTGCTCAAGCACGGAGGAGGGCATGATGGTGGCACAGTGCAGAATGAGCCTTCAATATTTGTCTTGGGGAAGCGAGCCTGGCTAACCTGTGCGCACAATCGTGCTGAGTGTTATTGAATTGGCCCCAAAAAGGTCATCCAAAGTAGCGGACCAACAAAGAAGTGCTGAAACTTTCATCGGCTGGCTCTGATGCCATGGCGCTTTGGGGAGATAGAGCAAGGGCGACCTTCTTGGCAGCATACAATTCAAAGCGCCACGAGGTATGGAGTGGTGAGAGATGCCATGCCATCCGATGCCAAACGTGCTTGAGTCGTTTGAGTCGTTGAGGTGGAGGCACCAGCAATCATCGCACCTCCACTTTCTCCGAAGTCGCCCAAAGTGAAAGGCTCTGCCAGGCCAGAATAAATGTCCAACGTTTATCATGTCCAAATTTCTTTGAGCTCAATTAACATCAACTCAAAGGACCTTCGAGATCTAGGGATAGCTTTGCCTCTTCGTTTGAGACTTGCTTCTTTCAGGTCTCTCACGGCCTCAGCGCGCTCTGGAGGAGAAACCCATTGAGATTCTATATTGAGACCTTGTGAAGGGAATAAGTGCCACGCTAGTAGTAACAGGTGCCTTACTAGTAGTAACAAGTGCCTTACTAGTAGTAACAAGAAGCTATTAGAAACAAGTGCCACGCTAGTGATTCCAAATAGCTGTCGGTTCGTCGAAGTGAAGCCTTCGCTCAGGATGGCCACTAAGCAGTCGCTTGAACAGCAGCCGCCTTGTGGAGAGCGCACGGGGCGTTTACACCCTCATCCGCACTGAAGCATAGCTGCAGCACAGACTGGCCGGAATGATTCTAAGGAACGGCCTGTATAGAAAGGAACACATTGATGATCATCGATGACCACGTGTCTGGCGCGTTCGTGTCTGGCGCACTCATGTAGATGCTAAAGCTTCTCAATTGGTATTTCAACTCCTGAAGCAACCTGCTGCGCATGCTTGACTTCAAGCCGTGCCGTGCTAACAAACCACTGAACAGTTCACACTTGGTTTGAGGATGTCGACGATGATGAGAAGCGACCCAAGGGTACTGCAATGCCTTTAGTGCCCAAGAGTGATGCTGGCACCCGTGTTCGTCTCTTTGAACATGCAGGCACAAGTTGTGGCACCAAGTCGGGCACGCAATTCCGCAACCGGTTTACATTGGAAAATGCATGTTTAGCAGTAGATTTGAGGCAAGATCAGAGGCGTCAGAGGCTCCTTTTTGAAGAAAGTAAGAAAGGGCAGATTCACAAGAAAAGAGAAACAAAAGAACCCCACAGAAACAGGAAAGGACAAAGAAAACTTACTTTTGTTCCTGATATCCATCGACCTATCACATCCGACTGCCTCAAGGAGCAACACAACTCACATATCCACCTTGCTCCCCTTCCTTTTTCGCCAGATAACGAGAGCTTTTGGGGTGCTTACTTCAATAAGAAGAGGTGCCTGTGTGCGCTTTGGAGGGTGGGTGCAGGTGCGGCTGTGCGGTGCCGCTGCGATGTGCGTTTTGGAGCTTGGGTGCTGGCCGTCTGCGCTTTGGAGCCTGGATGCTGGTGCCACTGCAGGGTGCTGCTGCCAGATGTTTAGGGCAGTGTGCGCTTTGGAATGTGCATGCTGTGCTGCTGCAGGGTGCCGCTGCTGCTGCTGCTGCCGCCGCAAGATGTTCATGGCAGTGTGCACTTTTGGGGGCTGGGCAAGTCTGAGTGCCTGTGTACACTTTCATTGGGTGCTGGCTCCGCCCCAGGCTGCTGGTGCGAGATGTTTTTTGTGGCCGTGTGCGCTGTGGAGCTTGGGTGCCAGTGCCTCTGCACCTGGCGCCTTGGAGATGGTCAACTTCAAAGAGGTCATCCAGGGCCATGGAAGACAAGACAGACAAAACATTTGGAGTGCAACTTTCCTCAAAAGTGGCAAGATTTGTGGAGAGCCTTTGATAGGAATAGGTGCCTGTGTGTTGGTGTTCCTGCCGGCCAGTGCGGGTGCGGTTGCCAGATGTGTATGGCCGGGTGCACTTTGCAGCCTGGGTGGCGACGCCGGCTGCCAGATGTGCATGACAGCGTGGGCTGCGTGCTGGTGCTGCTGCAGGGTGCTATTCCAAGGTCTATGGCCGTGTGCGCTTTGGAACTTGTTGGTTCCGCGGCAGACTGCCGTTGCCAAATCACATGCCGCGTGCGCTTTCGTGCGCTGGCCAAATCTCTCTGCGATGTGCGCTTTGGAGCTTGGGTGCTGGTGCCGCTGCAGGGCTGCTGCCGGATGTCCATGGCAGCTTGCGTTTTGGAGCCTGCGTGTTGGTGTCGCTTCAGGCCACTGCAGGATGCCGCTGCCAGATGTTTTATGGCAGTGCACGATTTGGAGTGTGGGTGCTGGCATCATGCTCTGTGATACAACGCTACATCGTGAATTCCTTGCTGTTTAGACGCAATGACTTACAATGTATTATGTGTAGAAAGAAACTGTTCACCAGCGTGTTCACATCTTGAGCCGTATCAATGTGTTTCCATTCAGAAAAGCACCCTTGAAGCGGCGCAATTCAACCAGCAAAGGCACTTGCTTTTGTGTCCCTGCCCAACCTGCGCGGACACGAGCGAACAAGACCAAATCTTGCCATAACAAACCTCGTTAAGCACAACCGTGTTACAACTGGTTTTCATTTTGCTGCAAGGCCTCGGCTTCTCTGACACGGCGGAGGAAGCCAATAATGGCCTTGAATGGGTCGAGTCCAATTGGCCGCTTGGAATCCAATATGCATAAACTTGTAGAACGAGCAGCTCCTCCTGCGGCTTGCAGGTTCCAAGGCTTGAGCGGGATGATCATCATGTGCAATGCTGTGGTCATTGGTTTGGAAACCGATCTCGAGTCCAAGATCTGGTTCTGGGTCGAGCTACTTGGTCGATCTTTGCTGCAAAGGAAATTACATATATTCTGTAAATGCATGTCTAGATTGCAACAAGAGTTTTTGACTGTTGTACTTCTTATATAATACTTGTACAGGCAACAAGTTTTGCTCATCGTGCCCATGGCTCGGATTTTAGACTGTATTGAGCATTACTTTAGCACAAGCTCTCAAAAGTGACGGATGAGTGTGGGCTGCTAGCAAACAACAATTCTGCCCCAACAAACACGCCACCGCAAGAAGCAAACATGCTCCAGTATCGCCCAGAAATGGCAACATATGTGCAGTACAGGCATCTCTGCTCGAACCATTTTTCTCAACTTTTGATCGAGCAAATTGCAATCGAGATATCAACAGATGAGGCCACATATTGCCCCGGCCTGGTTGTTCTCGAAATTGGGAAACTGATTCCGCAGCACACAGTCGATAAGCAAACAGTTTAAGCACTGCTCTCGAACTTGCAACCTGAGAATTTGCATTTGGGCACCTGGTCAATCGGTTCTCAGCGGAAAAGCATGTCAAGCCTCTCGTGTAGATTAGTGTTTGGATGTGATGCAAGAAAGCCTGGGTCTTCAATGCCTTCCACACTACCTGTACCTACAGACTAGCAAAAGATGCTTTTCGCCATGTCTACAGACCTTGCTGAAACGACCCAGGCACGGTTTGCTGGCCTACTTCTTGTTCGAGCTGGTCGTTCGACTTCTGCGACATGGTCGCCAGTTCTTTCGTCAGGAGGAGACACTGCATGTAACGGAGTTGGATGGAAGAGAGGCACAGAGACAAACTGAATTTCATGCAAGGTTTCGGTCGTTCTGAACAGCTTGTTAGGACGAATTGGGTTGGAATTTGTTTGATTTGTCCATCGTGGCAAGTGGCGTTGCGGACCAGACGCTCGTCCTCAAAGCTGCCCAAAGACTCATAGGCCTAAGCCCATATAGGTAGAGCATAGGAGCCCCTAGTAGCGTCCTTGCTCCTAGTAGCAATGCCAGGAGCCCCTAGTAGCGTCCTTGTTCCTAGGCCCGGATGAAACTGGCCTATAAGTCAAAGGTCCAAATCCTGCAAAGCTTGGAGTCACTGCTTGTCCGATCTGAGCTTAGTTTCAGGTGGGTGATGCCAGTGCTGCATACCGTCATGCAGCACAACGTGAAGAATCGGAAGCAAGGACAGTTTAGTATGGCTTGACATTGTTAACGCCTCAAGCAAAACTAGAGATCATACACCAGAGAACAAACATGATGTGCACATTATTGCATGTCACAGGATGTGAACCCAGAATAGATTGTAGAGGTACTTGCAGAAATTAGCACGTGTAACTACGCAGGATTTCTCTTTGCCGCTGAATGGCCGTTTTTTTGGGGCCAAGAAGAGCCTCACAATCTTGAGGTGGAGCAGGTTGAACGGCTGAGCAACCATGGAGAATTCAACTGGTTCCACTTGAAAGCGACATGTGTGCTCATGTGACATGAGACTCCTTCAAACTGACAACAATTACTTGGTAGATGGCTTGAACAAATTGGGACTAGATAATCCTGGCCTCCAGGAATGGCATCGGTCTTCATGGTCTTCCGTAGTTGGGCTGCAATGAGTTGATGATTTGAGTTTTCAATTGTGGTTCAACAAAACTCGAGTCGAGAAATTGAACACAATAAAATCAATGGAGTTGCTGGGTACAAACGATGAGGCATGGCCAGACTGCTTCGGATTGTGCGTCTCTTCCGATTGGTCAAAATTGTGACTTGACCAAGCACTAGTAACATTCTGTGGCGCTCCTTTCTCTACCTAATCACGCACAGGCTTGCGCCAGCTTGAGCAAACTAACTGCTAGTGTATGTTGTATAGGTCCCTTAGGCAATTGCTCCAAAACTGCTACCCGCCTCAAGGCACTAACTGGAACTCTAACTCAATCAAACTCCTTTCCAAAGACTGATTTTGATGCAAGCTGCTTAGCACTTTCTTCGATGAGTCTATTCACACAATGCATGAACACCTTCCCGAAGGGTGTTCCTTCCAGGTTGGGTGTTGCCCATTTGATCGTATTTCCGTGTTTCTCATGCTTTGGCAGTTGCAAATAGCTTGTGCATCTCCTCAAGGTTCGGCCTCTCTACGAGCTTGCACAATCCATCACTGAAGCATTGCAAGGTTTCTTCGTCGCACATGTGTGATAGGGAGCTGTGTTAGCAAGGCAAACACTGTCTGAGGTTTGATGTGGGCTTAATTTGCGTCTATTTTCAAGCTGTGTTGAATTCAAGCTACTGGATCGCCCTTACGCAGTTCTTTGCACTTTGTTTGGGCCCCACACTGCTGTTCCGATTTTGGCTCAGACAGTCAAGTTGTCAAGAGAGGATCAGGTTTCTTGTGGATTAGGGACCGGAGAAGGAAACCCAAGCAACTTGTTTTGGCTTATGAAGGGAAACAAAGTCATGGACCTTTTGGTGGAAACATACATAAACATACTACAGAGTCATGGAGGCGCCGGGAATGCAGGGAATGGACTACGAGAATCTGAAGGAGCCAGGAGCTCCGTATGCCCAGCTCTTTGGGGAAACCCAGCTGCCCAGCATCAGCAGGTTTGTCACTGACACTGGGAGGTCCTTGGCCACATACTCCTGGAGTTCCACAAATCAGGGTGTCATAATTCTGGTCCATGGCTTTGCTGAACATTTGGGTAGATATTACCATGTGGCCGACTTCTTTGTGAATGAAGGCTTTGATGTTCATGGTGTGGATCACATGGCCCATGGCTTATCAGATGGTTTTGCCGGAGCCTATGGGAAGCTGGACATGGACGAGCTTGTCACAAGTTGGAGTCAATACATCCTTGCAAAGGTTTGCCCCTTGGCAGGACTGGACTTGGCCTTGCAAGTCTAGTTTGATTCAATATCACACTGCCAAGAACTACACTGTTTTAAGTTTTAAAGATTGGTTGGATGAACAATGTACCTTCACACATTTGTATGACATGCAGAGTATTGGTGTGGCTAAAAGACAGAACGAAAGCGACACGAGGAAATGGTCACGTGAAATTATACTATGTTCTGTTCCTAGCAGAACTGGCAGGAGCTCACTATATTTACTGCCATTCAACTGGCGGATTGATTACTCTTTTGGCTCTTGAAACCCTGGCGAGCAAGTGGGACAAGCTTCAGGGCGTGATCTTCTCAGCGCCGCTGATCAGGCGCAGCCAAAAAGAGAGTCAAAAACAAAAGGGAGTCATCTTTGAGTCAAAAAAAACAAAAACAAGTCTATTGGGATTAACGTTGATGAAATAGGACTTATTCATACTTATCGATGCATTCACAGATTTCTCTCCAGCGAGACCCCGGTGAGACCCCCTCGTTTGGTCTCAGGAAGAACTTCACAAAGTGTTGTTTCCAGGATCTCTGGGGCAAACTTGGCAGAATCGCGTGACAACTCAAGGGGCACAGACTATAAAACATCAAGCTGTTCTTGGATCTTGAAGAAATCAATCGCCAGTTTTTGACCATCTGGAGGCAGCCTTCGCCCATTGCCGCTGGGACAGGCTGACAGTTTCTCCACCCGCCGAACTCCAAATTATGTCCCCAAGACTAAGCCCAAGCTCTTCACGTGTCAAGACTGTACTGAGCTGAAAGACGCTCGAAGTGAGATCGGCTTAATACATAGCTTGTTTCGTTTGAAAGTCAAGGCACAGCCCATGTATTGCTGCCCTACACTTTCAACGTGCTGCCTGTCCTGTGGCCTGGCCTGTGGCACCTGCTGCTTGATTCCTGGAATCAAGCCTGCACAATTGTCTGGATACAAAGCCTTCCTAGCACCTTTCCGCGAAAAGAGCTATAGCAAAGCTAGCATTAGTTGGATTTGCGCTTGCTTCAAGACTGGCGGAGGTCTAAGTCTTCACCCCTGTTTAATCAACCTGGACCCGCACTATAAGCAGTAGGAACCCGCCACGTCACCACTTGAGCACAGTAACAACGTCCTCTTTTACCCTAGTAGTAGGAGCAAAAGCCTACTTTCACCAGCACGGTAGGTCATTACGGTTTGCCACCCAAGAATCTTGGGTGTATGTATGTATTGGACTGTTTTGGAACGTACCACCAATGTGTGCCAAACACCTCCGCATGTGTTTGGTATTTTTTCTTTGTTTTAGCCCTAGCCTTGGCTATTCGTGTTTCTGAGTTTGTGAATCCAACTTTTTGCAACGGAGAAACTAAGGCAGCTGCTGAAAAGGATTCCCTGTACTTTGGATGGAAGGCCAACTTCTCGGTGATCAGGGCACTGTTGCAGGGCACAGTGCAAGCACAGAAACAGCTCCAGCGACCGTCCTACCCCTTTCTGGTGATGGTCAGTCCGACTCTTTGAAATCCATGTTTTGGACGGGAATAGACAGAGGAAGCTAAGTAGGCTAGAGGTAGGCTTTGGAAGGGAAGCTAAGTAGGCTAGATTCGATTCTGGATAAACTAGAAAGTAGGTTGGAGGCCATCACCGGTAGATGTAGCTTGGCAAACGGAAGAATCAGGATTCGATTTTTCAAGGAAACGAACTTCTTTGGAGCTTCCCTTCTCTTCCCGAATGGAAAACCACGGTCAGGTCGGATTGAACGTCCTGTTTTTGGAGTCCTTCGGTTTGAATTGGAAAAATAGACCATCGCTAGCCGCTTTGGTCGACCAGTCAGGAATGATGAATTAGTCGATCCCACAGCTGCCAAAGCGCTTTTCGAGCAAGCAGCCAGCACCACCAAAGCTTTCGAAATCGATGCATTCAGATTTGCACAACATGAGCTACACAACGAGGACAGAGTAGTATGCAGCTTTTGCAGTCTTAGGCTTAAATTATTGTTCTTCTTCATCGGAAATACAGCTCAATCATCAAGTGATCGAACCAACTGTAACTTATACAGATAAATTGATAGCCCACATTGGATTCCTTTCAGTGGGCCGTTGTCTCTCCCCATATGTTTCATCTCGCCTTGAAAGGAGGATTGGCAGAAACCTCTGAAGATCGCTTTGCAATGGCTGCACTCCCTGTCTGATGACAAGACGGGTATAAGAAATTGAGCATACTTCAGATTGGCCAAATGTTGAGCTGCGTTTGTTTGACTCTCTCTCTCTCTCCCCCTCTCTGCCTCTCTCTCTCTCTGCCCCGCTCTCGTAGATGGATTGCAAAGCAACCATCGTCAGCTTCGATTCAACAAGTTGTCATACAGCCAATGCGGACTACACAGGTCCGAGCATGAAGCGGGGAGAAAGATGGAAGCGATTTGGACACTGAGACTTCGGAAACCCGCGAGTGTCAGATAATCCCTGCTCCCTGCTCTCTTGCAAGGCATGTTTTGGGTCCTCGTCTTTATGATCATGACGCTCTACTCCGTGGCCATCCTATGCACTCGGCTAATTGGTCACGGCAGCGTCATTGGTGAGGATGCTGACGAAGACCTCCAGAAAATCAAGGACATCAAAGTGCAAAAAGGATCAGCCAGTAAGGATGAGGCATGTTTGCTTCGACTCTCTGGAACACAGCATCTAGCACTACTTGCGCACAAACTGTTGTGAGATGAGAGATGAACATGTTTGCCTTGATGATGTGTGAAGCACAGCCTATGTGCTTATGTCCAAGGATTTTGCAGTCTTAGTCTTGTTCAGGAGATGTTTAGCTCGGTGAGTACCAGCATGTTCACTTTGTTTGGCACTGTGAGCAGTTGGAGCCTCATGAAATTCGTTCCTTTGTTTGAGGAGAGCCTTGGATTGCAAGCTTAAGCTAGCTAGTTTAGAGTAGAGATCTTACGTAGAGCTAGCTTGTTTGAAGCAGTCTGAAAAGGCAACATCGAAAGATGCCGATTCAAACGTTGTTTTGTCTTTGTTTCATGATTGTCTTGTTTATTGTTTATTTGTGCGTTTTTTTTTTGAAAACGCAGTTGCTCCTAGTAGGTTCTTGTTCCTAGTAAGGCCAGGAGCCCCTAGTAGCGTCCTTTGCTAGTAGCGATGCCGATTTCAGGATGCCGATGTTGCGGCCTTTGTTTGTCGTCTTCTACATCTACTCTGCTTGGGCTTTGCTTGCAGTCATGACAGGTGCCAGTTTTGACAGTTTCCGGTTTCCTATTCAATGTCCATCTCTAAATCAATTCATCCAATTCAACTCTGTGAACTCAGGTGTGGTGAGTGAAAACATGATTGCCATACGTGATCAGATGCAAAAAGAAGACGAGCAGCGAGAGGACCGTAAGCATAACCGTCTTTCTGTTTGTGCAAGGCGTCGTAAAGCAGTCGACGCAAGCTGCTTGTGGCAAGCTTTCCGCTGTCCTCCTGAGTTTACTTTAAACTTAAAAATCTTAAAACCCATTTTAGTAGCTCTAGGCTCTAGTCAATCTGTCATGAGTCACTTTTTAGATACTTTTAGTCATTTTATGTCAACAGAGTCAGAGAGTTAAACCATGTCAAGACCTTCCAGGCCCCTCTTCCCGCTTCCACAGATGAAACAATCATGCTGTAACTTGCTCGTAGAGTCATCTCAAGATCGTCATGAGGAGAAGAGGAAGTCGATGATCACCAAAGTTCTCATGGAGCTCTTTCGGGAGGCCTTCAATGGTCTGTCTACACCCACAAAAGAATCAAACTCTTGTGGTTGTCAATTAGTTGGGTGGTATAGAATCGCTCTTTTGCTTTGTCATCTCAAGAGTTTCAGTTTCTTTGCAATTTGTTCCGTTCAGCTTGACAGTCTATAGTTTCGTGAGTTTGGGTACTTTGGTCGTGCGAAGAAGCCACTTTTTTCGCTTGGACATTCGTCTTGGTTATGCAACAATCGCTTTGTCAGGCCGACGTTGACAACAATGGCATTGTCTCCCGTCAGGAGTTCGAAGGACCAGGGCTGTCCTTAGATTCTCCAAAAAGTAATAGGCTGGAGGCTATCGCTGGTAGGTTGGAAGCCACTGCTATTAGGTTTGAGCACGATTGATAACTGAGTAGGAATGCTCAAATCACCTGAGCTGGTGAAGAAGATCACAAAGAACACACGAATGAAGGCAGGTGCTAACAGAAGCTGTTACTGAACTACAGTATTTGCTTTCGATTCTTTATCCATACCACTCACATTTATGATGCACACAAATAAATAGGAAAACCGATCTTTGTGAGTCTCACACTGCCCACATTTTCCTCACATTGGCATGTTTGGCCTTTCGAAATTTGTCTTGATCAATATGTGTGAGAGGTGCAAGATTTGATTGATCTTTTTGACTGGATAGACCATGACAAAGGCGGGCAAACAAGTCATAGACGAGATTTCGTCATTTTGTTGATCGGCAATCTGACACGTGGCAAACTAGGTGGCACCATCACGATTGACGAATTCATGACTGGCTTTAAGTGGATCAATGAACCTTTGCGGGCGAAGAGTTTGGTGAAGCTTCAGGATGGGTGGACAGAAATGGTAAGAGTCAACATGCAAAGCAACACGCAACACATGCAAAGAAGGACGCCAGATTTTGCAGAGGAGCGACTTGCAGGTGATTTGAAGCTCTTGGAGAGCACTGTGCATCTCGTCTTTGTGACAATTTCTAGAAAGGTTAAGAGGAGCAAGAAGCTACTAGGAGCAAAGGGCATCGCTACTAGGAACGAGGACGCTACTAGGGGCTCCTGGCCTTACTACTAGGAGCCAGAAGCTACTAGGAGCAAAGGGCATCGCTACTAGGAGCAAAGGACGCTACTAGGGGCTCCTGGCCTTACTACTAGGAGCAAGAAGCTACTAGGAGCAAGAAGCTACTAGGAGCAAAGGGCATCGCTACTAGGAGCAAAGGACGCTACTAGGGGCTCCTGGCCTTACTACTAGGAGCAAGAAGCTACTAGGAGCAAAGGGCATCGCTACTAGGAGCAAAGGACGCTACTAGGGGCTCCTGGCCTTACTACTAGGAGCAAGGAAGCTACTAGGTAGGAGCAAAGGGCATCGCTGCTAGGAGCAAAGGACGCTACTAGGGGCTCCTGGCCTTACTACCAGGAGCAAGAAGCTACTAGGAGCAAAGGGCATCGCTACTAGGAGCAAAGGACGC